TAAAGATAAATAAAGATAAATAAAGATAAATAAAGATAAATAAAGATAAATAAAGATAAATAAAGATAAATAAAGATAAATAAAGATAAATAAAGATAAATAAAGATAAATAAAGATAAATAAAGATAAATAAAGATAAATAAAGATAAATAAAGATAAATAAAGATAAATAAAGATAAATAAAGATAAATAAAGATAAATAAAGATAAATAAAGATAAATAAAGATAAATAAAGATAAATAAAGATAAATAAAGATAAATAAAGATAAATAAAGATAAATAAAGATAAATAAAGATAAATAAAGATAAATAAAGATAAATAAAGATAAATAAAGATAAATAAAGATAAATAAAGATAAATAAAGATAAATAAAGATAAATAAAGATAAATAAAGATAAATAAAGATAAATAAAGATAAATAAAGATAAATAAAGATAAATAAAGATAAATAAAGATAAATAAAGATAAATAAAGATAAATAAAGATAAATAAAGATAAATAAAGATAAATAAAGATAAATAAAGATAAATAAAGATAAATAAAGATAAATAAAGATAAATAAAGATAAATAAAGATAAATAAAGATAAATAAAGATAAATAAAGATAAATAAAGATAAATAAAGATAAATAAAGATAAATAAAGATAAATAAAGATAAATAAAGATAAATAAAGATAAATAAAGATAAATAAAGATAAATAAAGATAAATAAAGATAAATAAAGATAAATAAAGATAAATAAAGATAAATAAAGATAAATAAAGATAAATAAAGATAAATAAAGATAAATAAAGATAAATAAAGATAAATAAAGATAAATAAAGATAAATAAAGATAAATAAAGATAAATAAAGATAAATAAAGATAAATAAAGATAAATAAAGATAAATAAAGATAAACAAAGATAAATAAAGATAAATAAAGATAAATAAAGATAAACAAAGATAAATAAAGATAAACAAAAATAAATAAAGATAAATAAAGATAAATAAAGATAAATAAAGATAAATAAAGATAAATAAAGATAAATAAAGATAATTAAAGATAAATAAAGATAAAGATAAATAAAGATAAATAAAGATAAATAAAGATAAATAAAGATAAATAAAGATAAATAAAGATAAATAAAGATAAATAAAGATAAATAAAGATAATTAAAGATAAATAAAGATAAATAAAGATAAATAAAGATAATTGAAGATAAATAAAGATAAATAAAGATAAATAAAGATATATAAAGATAAATAAAGATAAATAAAGATAAATAAAGATAAATAAAGATAAATAAAGATAAATAAAGATAGATAAATAAAGTTAAATAAAGATAAATAAAGACAAACAGAATATTATTCTGCAATTTTTTTTCCTTAGAATCATTTAAGGAAGATTCATATGCCGCTACATACATTTTTTGGTTTTTGACAATACATTCCGTGACATAATTTCAGGAGCTTCTTTTACTTCTGGTTGAGTTAAAGATATTTTATTTCCATTTTTGAAATCCATTTCTTCTTAATTTTTAATAAAACATTTTACAAATTATTTTGCAGACAAAATTTGACGTTTTAATTTAAGTTAATTCGACTTTTAGATGACATCCGCCACCTACATATGAAGTGTCTAAAAATTGCAATCGGTAAACCAATACTTGAAATAAGCCATATAAGAAATGTATGGGATTTTAAGAACATTGATATTAAAGTAGTTAGGTTGAACCAAAAAATATGATCAATACGGTTCTAAGTTAGAAGCAATTATTCAAGAAAATCAAAACTGCAAGTAATTCGGCTCTTTCTTTCTAGACACATATGCACAGACGAACAGACGATTTTTTTTGTATTTTTGGACTCGGAATAATCGGAAACGTGAAAAAAAGTCTTTAAAAGTGGGAATAAGAATGTTTTTTCTTCTGCACGAGTGCAATACTAAGGCCCCATAGAAAGAGCCTCATTAATATTTTCTGTCAGCACATTTTTTCATTCCGTGACGTCACTCAGTACTTAGCAACCAAGATGAGACCACCGCACCGTTTTAGTCTACGAACCATGTGCGAAAGCAAAATCTTTTAAAATTTTTGTTTAATAAATTTGATATTTTTGTTCTTAGATATTAAATTTTTGACAATCATAAATTTGATATAGTTTTACTTATCATATTACCAGCTACTTTTTTAACAGGGCAAAAAATGCAGTATATTTTGTATAGTAAACTTTTTCCAGGTAAACGTCATTGTATGTATTGCCTACTGTTTATACAAAGTGTCCGCTAATTAATGGTACACAGTAAAACTACAAATTCTTTGAGGAAAAATATTGCGATTTAACCAAACTTATTTTAGTCCAAAAGTTCTGACGAACGGCATAGATAAGTAACACCTTCATTTCCTCTAAATTTTACGCCACTGTTTAAAAACTTATTTGGACTATACTTTTACATTTTATATTTTTTAAGTTATTTATGTACTCTTGTTGATTTTTGAAATACTCACACTCAAAGGTGAATATTGTTCATTTTAATTTATTTTTAATTTTGGAATTTTGAATTTGTTTATAAAATTATATCCAATAAAAGTTTTTGGTGTCATAAGATACAGCAACAAAAATCATTTAAAAAAGTTTGCCAGTGGCGTACAACATGGATTATTACACCTTCGTCCCTTTTAAATTTTACGCTACACTCCAAAAACTTATTTGGAATATAATTTTAATTTTTTTTAAGTTTTTAAAATAAATCGTGTACTCTTTTTGCGAATTTATGAAAAAAATCCAAAATAACAAAATTAAAAAAAAGAATTTCCAACGTTGGGTGTGAAAATTTCGAAAACCAATCACTTTATGAGTTCCCAATAAGAGTGCATCAATTATTTAAATATATCACACAATGTAAACGTATAGTCCTAATAAGCTTGTGGACAGTTTCGCAAAATTTAAAGGGGTGAAGTTGTTACTTATTCCTTCCGTACGCCAGTGGTAAAATTTACTTAACCGATTGTTTTGCTGATAGCTGTATCTTATGACACTCTAAATGTTTACCGAATTTAGAAAAATTATAAGGAGATATAAAAAAATTATAGCCATTAATAATTTTTGAATTTTCAACTGAACACCCTTTATTTCGGTTATTGTCAACTTTTGGACTAAGGTAAGTTTGGTTAAATCGCATTATTTTAATTTGCAGTTTTCCTGTTGACACAATAAAAAATTTAAAAATTATCTTCAATTTTATGACCTTGCACTATCCCTTAATTAAAATTGCAATCTTATCGTGTATATCTTTGTAGGAGCAACAGTTTCCGAGAAAATAGTATAAAAGATTATTAATTTTGATGATCATTTTCCTCAAAAATGGTAATCGAGATAGGTTTTTTGTATTTGAAAGTAAGGAAAATGATCTGCTAAGAAAATCTCAGAAGATTGTATAGGCGAATGCATTTTAAAATGAACCTTTTTTTTAAATGGGCGTTTTAAGGGTAATACCACAATGAGTGAAATTTTTTTAGAATATTTTGTTGCTTTTTTGAAAATATTTCGTCCAAATTTCACGAATAAAATTTCTTCTTAAAATACCAGAAGACGTCAGTCAGTAGAATAACGGCCATTAATACTTTACAACATCTATGATATGAAAATAAATATAGATACATATTTTATAGCGATTTTATATAAATAATTAAATAATAACAAAACACTTACAAAAACTAAAACAATTCCCTCTCTGCAGATACACAATTAATGTTAAAGCTACAAAACTGGTTTTCATTTTAATTTCTTTACCTTCACACGGTTTTCTTAATAATGAAAACACGTTAAGCGTGCATATATTTATATAGACGAATATTGAGAACATGGGTATCGGGTACCGCCAGTGAGAAAAAAGGGGGCAAAGGAGGAAAAAGGGAGAAAGGGGAGAAATTGGAGAAAGGGGAGAAAGGGGAGAAAGGAGATAAAGGAGAGAAAGGAGAGAAAGGGGAGAAAGGGGGAGAAAGGAGAGAAAGGGGAGAAATTGGAGAAATGAGAGAGAGAGGAGAGAAAGGAAAGAAAGGAGAAAAAGGCGAGAAAGGGGAGAAATGGGTGAAAGGGAAGAAAGGGGAGAAATGGAAGAAATGGGGAGAAAGGAAGAAAGGGAAGAAAGTGGAGAAATTGAAGAGTGAAGAAAGGGGAGAAAGGGGAAAAAGGGAAGACAGGGAGACAGAAGAGAAAGGGGAGAAAGGGAAGAAAGGGGAGAAATGAGAAAAAATGAGAGAGGGGGAGAAAGAAGAGAAAGGGGTGAAAGGGGAGACAGGGGAGAAAGGGGAGAAAGGGGAGAAAGGGGAGAAAGGGGAGAAAGGGGAGAAAGGGGAGAAAGGGGAGAAAGGGGAGAAAGGGGAGAAAGGGGAGAAAAGGGAGAAAGGGGAGAAAGGGGAGAAAGGGGAGAAAGGGGAGAAAGGGGAGAAAGGGGAGAAAGGGGAGAAAGAGGATAAAGGAGATAAAGGGGAGAAAGGGGAGAAAGGGGAGAAAGGGGAGAAAGGGGAGAAATGGGAGAAAGAGGAGAAATGGGAGAAAGGGGAGAAAGGGAGAAAGGAGATAAATAGGAGAAATGGGAGATAGGAGAGAAATAGAAGAAAGGGGTGAAAGAAGAGAAAGGGGAGAAAGGGGAAAAAGGAAAGAAAGGGGAAAATGGGAGAAAGGGAAGAAATCGGAGAAAGGGGGAGAAATTGGAGAAAGGAGAGAAATGAGAGAAATGAGAGAAATGAAAGAGAGGAGAGGAAGGGAAGAAAGGAGAAAAATGCGAGAAAGGGGAGAAATATGTTAAAGGGGAGAAAGGGGAGAAAGGGGAGAAATGGAAGAAATGGGGAGAAAGGGAAGAAAGTGGAGAAATTGAAGAAAGTGAAGAAAGGGGAGAAAGGGTACAAAGGGCACAAATGGGACAAAGGGAAGACAGGGAAACAGAAGAGAAAGGGGAGAAAGGGAAGAAAGGGTAAAAAGGGGAGAAAGAAAAGAATGGGGAGAAGGGGGGAGAAATGAGAAAAATAAGAGAGGGGCAGAAAGGAGAGAAAGGGGTGAAAGGGGAGAAAGGGGAGAAAGGGGAAAAAGGGGAGAAAGGGGAGAAAGGGGAGAAAGGGGAGAAAGGGGAGAAAGGGGAGAAAGGGGAGAAAGGGGAGAAAGGGGAGAAAGGGGAGAAAGGGGAGAAAGGGGAGAAAGGGAAGAAAGGGGAGAAAGGGAAGAAAGGGAAGAAAGGGGAGAAAGGGGAGAAAGGGGAGAAAGGGGAGAAAGGGAAGAAAGGGGAGAAAGGAGAGAAAGAGGAGAAATGGGAGAAAGGGGATACATTGGAGAAATGGGGAAAAATGGAAGAAGGGGTAAAAAGGGGAGAAAGAAGAGAATGGGGAGAAGGGGGGAGAAATGAGAAAAATGAGAGAGGGGCAGAAAGGAGAGAAAGGGGCAGAAAGGAGAGAAAGGGGTGAAAGGGGAGAAAGGGGATAAAGGGGAGAAAAAGGAGAAAGGGGAGAAAGGTGAGAAAGGGGAGAAAGGGGAGAAAGGGGAGAAAGGGGAGAAAGGGGAGAAAGGGGAGAAAGAGGAGAAAGGGGAGAAAGGGGAGAAAGGGGAGAAAGGGGAGACAAAGGATACATGGGAGAAATGGGGAGAAATGGAAGAAATGGGAGACATATAAGAAAAGAAGGGAAAGGGGTGGGGAAGGGGAGAAAGCTGTGCAGGGGAGAAATGGGAAAATGGGGAAAAAGGAGAGAAAATGGGTCAAAGGAGAAAAAGAGGTCAAATGGTGAAAAGGGGCGAAGGGGGCAAATGTATTCGCAGTTTCATTATAAAGAAATAGCAGTTAAAATTTTTAAATTTCGAAATAAATGTGTCCATTCTCTGACTAATTTTTGATATAAAGGACCCCGCCCTTTTCTAATGGCAAAGTGGCGTTCCGTCAAATGTGATAAATTTTGAATATGATGTTGTACTCGACTTATTGACCAAAAGTGTTTATGGGACCAATTTAATCCTATGCCTAGTTTTTAAAATACAGGGTGTTAAAGTCCAGAAATCGTATTTCTTGAAACTACGTAACTTAATTAAAAAGAAAAAATAAGCATTTTTAGTTGATTGTAGAATTAATATGTCCTAGTCTAACGCAAACGTACACATAAATAGTACAAAATGTAAACGTATACAGGGTGGTACTCAGTTACATCAGGGGGAATTTTTGAAATTCTGAGAGATTCTGCATATCATTCCATATGAATGAAAACATGGTCAAAAATAAAAGCTTACATAATGTTTACTATTCTGACATTATATAAACCCATTTTACATTATATATATACAGGGTGATTGTTAATTTAATTCATTCCACAGAAAGGCGTTTCTTAAAACAAAATTTACTACTCTCTGTATATTAAGGAATTTGTTATTAATAATGATTATGCATTTAATACCTAGAAAACAATAATTTTTATGGAATACAGGGTGATAGACACATCTAATTCGTTTTTGCAGCAGCAATAATTAAAGAAATATTCCTTTTTCAGAATCAACCTATATTTTTTAAATCGATCCGTCAAAATTTACGAACTAATTATTTTTGTTATTAGCTTTAAGCAATTAATAACTTCATATAATTTCATAATTTTAGTATGATCCGTTTTTGAGATTCCAATATATCGTGAACCATATTAAATATCAGACATATCCACTCATGTATGTAGTATAATAATTCCCATTTGTGAGTACAAAAATCGTAGTTTACTATCGGCTACATAGGAAGAAATAGACATGCAAGTGGATAAAAATATCGGATAAATTACGTTACCGTAGCAACGCTGGCATTTATTGTTCGTTTATTAAGCGTTGCGCGTTGACTATATTGGAATCTCAAAAACGGATCATACTAAAATTATGAAATTATACGAAGGTATTAATTGTTTACAGCTTATTACAAAAATATATAATTCGTACATTTTGACGGATCGAATTAAAAAATATAGGGTGATTCTGAAAAATTAATATTTCTTTAATTGTTGCTGAATAAAAAACGAATTAGACGTGTGTATCACCCTGTATTTCATAAAAAGTATTTTTATCTAGGTATTTATTTATTACCCCATAATTAATAATATTAACAAAGTCCTTAATATATAGGGTGTAATTTTTTTTAAGAAACGCCTTTATGTGGAATGAATTAACAATCACCCTGTATACATATAATGTAAAATGGGTTTATATAATGTCAGAATAGTAAACATTATGTAAGTTTTTATTTTTGACCATGTTTTCATTCCATATCAGAATCTCTCAGAATTTCAAAAATTCCCCCTGATGTAACTGAGTACCACCCTGTACATGTTTACATTTTGAACTATTTATGTGTACGTTTGCGTTAGACTAGGTTATATTAATAGTACAATCAACTAAAATTGCTTATTTTTTTCTTTTTAATTAAGTTAGGTAGTTTTAAAAAAATACGATTTCTCGACTTTAACACCCTGTATTTTAAAAACTTCTTATAGGATTGAATTGGTCCCATGAACACTTTTGGTCAACAAGTCGAGTACAACATCATATTCAAAATTTATTACATTTGACGGAACGCCACTTTGCCATTAGAAAAGGGCGGGGTCCTTTGAAAATTGGATATTTTTAAAAAGTTTTAAAACAAGCGAAAAGATTATAAGAAATAAGATTTTAGTTTAATTTTATGAAATTTATAGAAATCTTCAACTTTCAAAAGCGGCCCCGGGGAAAGGTCCATGTGAATCATGCACGGTCCTCGAAATTAAAATTCGTACAATTGAAGTTCCAGTTTAGTTTTTTAGAATTTGTGGGTCTGTATTATTTCCTACAGTATATTTCAGGAATAACGTATAGTAAATTTCTCGCAACACTAATCTTCGAAGCCTCGAAACTCATAATAGGTTTGCGTATTTTACAAATTTGAAGTTTCATTTAATTAAGTAGTTAAATGGGTTAAACGTTGAAAGAATATTATTTCACAAAGTGTATATTCACAAAAAGTCCTAATATACAAATTACATACGTACGCCTTGAACTTGCGTTGGAAAAAGTATTTAATTCAGCACGGACAATATTAAGAACCCACCTGGGTATTGAAATTGTATTTAAATATTTTAGATATTTTCTTGATTAATATTCTAGATATTAAAAAATCTAGAAATTTAAATCCAAATAATTATTTTCGAAGTTAGATGGCTGTGATTTATAAGAATAGCTAGGTATATTTTGATAACAAATTAACAATTGCCGTCATCTCAGTTTACTTATGTCAAATCGATTTCTGGTTGTTAAAATTAATTAAAATTTAGTTAAAATTAACCCTGGGTTATTAAAATAACCGGATATTTTTAATTTTGTATTCTGTATATCGGTTGAGGTTTGTAAACGAAAATTTGAAGTGCTAGTTTTAGCCAGACGACGTTCACGTTTCTTCTCAAATCTACGAATACCTCCTATGCAGCATCGATGTAATGAGAAATGCATTTTTATGGATACTAATCCCATATCTTCGTGACATATTACTTATTTTAAAAATTCAATCTTTAATCAAGAAAAGTTACAAGAGATTGTCAATTATAAGAAATTTTGCAAATCTTTAATCCAAATAAGTACTCTGTATAAGGTAAAATTTGGAGTTAGAGACAGTGTTGGATTGGGCTGTCGATCTGCCGGTCCATTGACAACTAGGTCCTCGTTCAAGACGAGATGCTAAATGCCACTGGTAGCTCCACATAATGCGCATGCTCGCTAAATGTGTAATTCTCTCCTTTGAGTGATAATTTTTGTTTATCAAAATGGAATGTTGTAATACTCCGTTTGTAAGAAATTTTATTCTAAGAAGTCCAATTTAAATAGACATAGTCCAGAAGTATACGGTTTAGAAAAAGAAACAGGACTGCAATAGCTAACTCATCCTACCAAAAAAGTGAAAGTTTAATACAGCATGTTCACAATTACAAATAAAAATAGTAAAAGTTTCCCTTTTATTCCAACATGATTTTTTTAAGCACCAAACTTTGAAAGCTGGAAAAGCAATTTTAAATTGGTTAATATAAGTGCAACTAATATCTACACACTCCTAGAAGTAGAAGAATACTAGAAGAAATGTTATTTATTATGACTGCAATCTAACAAAAACAGGTAAGATGAATAATTTTCAGTTGTTTAAAACATTTAATGCAAATTTAACAGGTAAGCAGGTAAGCAATGCTTGTTGAAAAGTCAGGGAAGTTTTGTAAATTAGATGTTATTGCACAAGTCGTATAAAGCTAAGAAATTATGGGAATAAACTGTGCATGTACTCTTTCAAAATATACATTATGGTCACAATCTAGATTTGAAACACTTGAGAATTTCAAAAGTGAATAAAGGACCTACTAATAGCTTCAAAATTATTAGCGTTGCGGGTGTATCCAAAATCAGGTAAAATAATGTTATTGACTTATATATTTTTTTAATAATTTGACTATATTATTATACATAATAAATATGTTTAATAAAAAACTTTGTTTTTACTGGTTATATAATTTTATTAGGTATAGTCACAAGTTTAAAATTAACATTCCAAATATGATTATGGCTTATATCGAAACATTTGTAGTGTCTAATTACATAAATATATATATATAATGATATTATATGACCGACAAAATTCATGGAAGTTTTTTAATGAAAATGTATAGTTTTATAACTATTATTCTGTCTCTAGGAACCATTTTTTATGAAAAATGTTTCAGTCTAGGTACTTGAAAACTTGATGTTAAAAGAGATAAATATCTTTACTAAAAACAAGGTATTGACAAAATGATCTCATCATATTTGGGTTAATGGATATATTATTTTGATAACATATATAATTTTGTTAATTTATTAAAAAGTCAATTAAAAACTCAATTAAAAAAAAATCTGATGTGTCCAACACATGACTTTCCTATCTAGTTATTCACCTCTATAAATGTTTAGAGGATAAACTAAATATATACATTTTCCACATACATCTAACTCGAAACATTTTTCTATAGATATTCATTGAAAACGAAAATACTGAAAAATTTAAATTTAGCACTTCTCCTCCAATTTTTCCATTACGGTCCATTTTAGAAAAATCATGTAAAAACAAAAATTATAGAAATCGATATCGCAAACAACTTTTAGTTTAACAATTTTCTTAAAAATCAGAATTTTGCACATTTTGTCAAATTTCTCGAATACGGACCATTTCAGGAAAATTTGACAAAATGCAAAAATTATAGATAATAATAGTAGAAGTAACTTTTATTTGAACAATTTTCTTCTCCAAACATAAATACCAGATATATTCCATAAAATATAAAAACGGCCTCCCATAAAGTACCCCCCCCCCCCCCCCCCAGATGTTCAGACTTTGTCCAAAATCTAATCATTTTACGTCCGGCCAAAATAAAACTCAAGTTTAAAATCTATTGTTTTT